ATCTTGAGGAGGTTGAATTAAGAAGAAGTCATTTGGAGAGTATACCAGAAAACCTTTTCTGGTATTCAACATCTTTAAAATATATCGATTTGAGTCAGAATTATCTTACAAGATTACCAGAATATATCTTTAGAGATCAACAAAATGTTGAAAAGATCTCATTAAGTACGAATTTGATTCGGACGCCACCTGATGTGATGTTTGCATATGTAAAAAAATTAAAAGTACTCGACTTGTCTGTTAATAATATTACTTATATATCAAGGTAAATTATTATAAAATTTATAGTAAAAGATATATTTTCAATCTAATAAGTGTCCAACTAAGCTTCCTCTATTTTTTCTCCAAGTCATCGGAAGCAAAGTTGTACACCAAATATTGTTTTTCAAATATAAATATTTTTATAGAGATTTATTTCATGGTTTGAGATCGTTAGAAGAACTTTACATGAATGGAAATGGCTTGAAATTTATCCATAGTGAAGCATTTTCAACCAATGAACGTTTATCCATCGCTCATTTCTCAAATAATTTACTATCCTTTAGTCATTACAATAACGCGATGTCACCTTTTTATAATAATCGTTTTCTTAAGGAATTGCATTTAGCGCGCAATGAAATAAACCATTTTTTTTACGATTGGAATGTAAATAAAAAAAGGTTAAGATTATTAGATTTGAGTTATAACAAAATAAGTTTAATAACGGTAAATATCAAATGTTACAATCTGTAAATATATTAAATATTATTATTGAAATGATTAAAAGTGAATTTGTTTTATTTTATAGGACTATAATTTAATGTTTTCGTCGAAGGAAATCGTAGTTGATCTAAGATATAACAACATAAGTAATATTTTATTAAATAATTTTTCCTTTTTAGCAGACCATTATACTGAGAAAAGTAACGTTGTTATTTACGTCGATAACAATCCGATATTATGTGATTGTAATCTATATTCTCTTTTGCGATATTGTAAAAATTGTGTGAACAGAAATGTATATACTTTC